GTTTGAAGGTAAATTCAGTAAAGCGCTTCGGACGCACAAGATTTACAAATTGTTATTGTCATTTTTTAGCTGTATGGTTAATAAGTGCTGGGGAGTCTGGAGTAGTGAGGGACAATCGCCATATGAGTAAACTCAATAACATAAGAATATAAAACATGCAAGGTTTGCATTTTTGTCTGTAGGGGTGTCTTCTGACCTTGACCCCATTTTCATGGTTCATTGATTAACGTAAATTTTCTTGACACGAAAATCCTGCTGTAAGGACCCTCAGCATGCTAATAGTGCAGAGCAGACATTTCCACGTGAACTCCTGTTAGGTAAAAAAAAAAAAACTTGTGTACTAGGTAGGTAAATATTTTCTATTTTTTACATAAACTACATAGGAAAATCTGTTAAATGTTCTGGACTATAGATGTGCTTTACTAAAATGCTGGACTTTAATGGTGCTTAACCAAAAGTTGCCGAAAATGCCGATAAAATGTGTTATGGTAGGTATAAAAATTAAGGGTAGGTGGGAGGACAGGAAGCAGAACAATATTTGTTTCGGCCTAAAACTACCGGTATGTGTTCTGACGGCTAGATCGTATGTGAAAGATTTTGAATGCATGATATCTGGAACTAATACATGAATTTTATTGGTCCTAAATGATGTGAATGGATTATTGGTAGTGGAGACTAGTTCAATCTTATTAAAAAAAAACAACTTTAAACACCTTTTGGCTTAGTAAATTCGGGTTGACATTGCAGATTTCTAGTAATCAGTTATTTAATAGCTTCCAAATCAACTAACTCACTTTTAAACTTTGCAAAATCATGCATGCCAAGAACAAGGAAAGATATCGCCATTATTCTACTATGAATTCATTGAAGGATGATAAAACGGTTATTTAATTTATTACCACAAATAGTAAGATGAATTAGATGGGATCATGAAAGGTCAAAATGAAATACAAGTAGGTCTAACCAGTTTAGTTTTCGAAAAATATAAATAAGTCTTTACTGACTAATATTATAGTCAGCAAAATTAACTTCGTGTCTTGGTAGTTTTAATGTCTCAAATATGCAGAAAACCACCAATTTCAAACCCTAACGTCAGGTTGCCCGTTCCAAGCATAAATTCTATAGAAGTAAACAGTAGACGAGCCTTAGTATTGGAAACTAATCATAATCAAATTTCTTTCAAAGCATAGTACCATATCTGCTAAGAAAGTACAAAATGTTCATTAAAAATAATAGTCCCATACATGGTCATAATTAGGTAAAAAGTGTTCAAACCACAACCAGATGTGCTTATAATACATCGCTAAATATCAGCACAATATCACCATGGATGACTGCAAGCTGAGTAAACAGTTGTCATTTGTATAATAAATAGAAAGACTCATGGCCGGTATAAGAATTTTTATAGTCAACTGCGTCTAAATACTTAATGCAACATCTCATTTTAAAATCATAATCCAAACAGTCAGGAATCTGATGTTCAGTAGTTGTCGTTTGTTGATGTGGTTCATAAGTGTTTCTCGTTTCTCGTTTTTTATATGGATTAGACCGTTGGTTTTCCCGTTTGAATGGTTTTACACTAGTAATTTTTTGGGGCCCTTTATAGCTTGCTGTTCGGTGTGAGCCAAGGCTCCGTGTTGAAGGCCGTACTTTGACCTATAATGGTTTAATTTTATAAATTGTGACTTGGATGGAGAGTTGTCTCATTGGCACTCATACCTCATCTTCTTATATCTATATAAGCTGAATATTTGAAAAAAATGACAACTAAAAACTATTACTTTTACGGAAATCTTCGAAGTCAAAGGGCCATAATTAGATGATCTGAAACAAGATTTCAGATTATCTTGTTAATTAAAAGAAGACAGATCTATAATCTAAAATTAGTCTACTTTTTTTAAACTTTATGCTAAATTCTTTTCTTAACAATGATCTTGTAGGTTTCCTTGCTGGGAGCATCAAAATCAATATTGTAACTAGAGATTTCTATAAAAAGTTTCGATGGACTGACCAAAAATTGATGGCAAAAGCTGATGGCTGGCTTCAGATCCGGTTGAGCAAATAATCTTGACCATTCCTTTCTAGTGCAATCAATCCAGGAATACTGGAGTAAGTGCGTGATTTGTAAATGTAACTCTAATTAAACTGTTGACACAGAGATATGTCTCGCCTGTCGGCATAAAATTCAGAAAAAGACAATCTGATAGAAAGCAACATTGCTAACTAATTCAAAGTTGCTGGACCAACTAGTGGGAAGGGCCTCGAAATGGTTGACAAACTGAGATGTACAGACAGCAATGTAACTTTATAGAAAATATCTTTGTCTACTGTAAGTAGTTCCTATCAAACTAACTTATGCAGAAAACTTAACATTGAAAATGGCTAATCAAATTAAAGTCACTGGACCATGGCCTAGGGGGCAGGGCCTCAAAATTGTCGTCAAAACTGATATGTACTGATAGTAATGCAACTTTATAGAAAATGTCATTGATCTATCGCAAGTAGTTCATGTCAAACTAGCTTAAACAGAAAACTTAACATTTAAAATAGCCAATTAAATCGGTCACTGGACCATGGACTAAGGGACAGGGCTTCAAACTGATATGTACTGATAGTAATGCAACTTCATACAAAATATCATTGATCTATCACAAGTGCTTCCTATCAAACTAATTTAAGCAGAACACTTAACATTTAAAATGGCTAATTAGATCAAAGTCAATGGACCATAGCCTAGGGGGCAGGGCCTCAAAATTGTTGTCAAACTGATATGTACTGATAGTAATACAACTTCATACAAAATATCATTGATCTATCACAAGTTCTTCCTATCAAACTAACTTAAGCAGAAAACTTAACATTGAAAATAGCTAATTAAATCAAAGTCACTGGACCATGGCCTAGGGGGCAGGGCTTCAAAATTGTCGTCTAACTGATATGTACTGATAGTAATGCATCCTCATACAAAATATCAATGATCTATCACAAGTAGTTCCTATCAAACTAACTTAAGCAGAAAACTTAACAATTGTTGACACTGTCATCGTAGCCGTTGCCCGAAAAGCAATCCCCATGTCTCGCTCTCTGCGACTTTCCTCACAGGTGAGACAAAAACAAAAAACTAGAAAATAAAATAACTCATCAGGGAGCTTTCTTTTATCAATCCCCACAATAATGTGAAGTTTGGAGGAATTCAATTCAGGAATACTGGAGTTGCCATAAATCTAAGGGTCAATGTTCTGTAACTCTGGAATGACAAATTGAAAAATAAAACAAATGAAGAATGTGTCCATAGGACACCATCTTCGCTAGCCAAGGGTTACGATCCAGTCCAATCCTCTCCACCCATTGCGGATTAAGATAGAATTTCGGATCGACGAGGTAATGGTTTCCATTGGTCGCAGTTATAGCTGGCTGCATCCAATCAAAAAGCGCTTAGAAGATGATCACGTGTAAATGTAGAAAATGTAAATAAACAATTACCACATGCTGATTGCGCAAAAAGTCTTTACCCCCAAATCGTAGGACAATATTTAGTGACAATTCAAAGTTCTTAATCAACTAATTGAAGTTCCTGGGTATGTTTCTAGTGGAAATGTTGGAATGTCAACGTGTATGTTCTGTTCCTGCTTACGAAATTTGTAAGCACTAGACACAACCATTGTTAAACCTCCACATTGAAGAGATTTCAAGTGCTGCCATTGGTCAAGAATGATGTAGTCGGAATGGGTGACTTTATCTTCTGTTAGATGGCGCAGCATTGTGATCACAAATGTTGGCTTAATCTGCCAAGGGTGGAATTAAGCAAAGATGATGGGACACAGATGCCCCAGCTTGTAAATATATTGCAAGTTCTGCAATTTTTCAATAAACAATGGGACATAACTCAACAACAGCGAAAGTGAGGCCACCTAAATTCAAACTTGATTTGTGTTTGGTGGTAATAAGCATTGTGTATAAGTTTCATAACATTTGGTTGAGCCAAACTAAGGTCCGAAAGTGATTTCACCATTTATAAAGGGACATAACTCGAGAACAGTGAAAGTGACACCATCCAAATTCAAACTTATCTGGTTTTTGTGGTAATAAGCATTGTGTACAAGTTTCATAATATTTGGTTGAGGCAAAATAAAGTAAGATTGTGGAAACTGCAAATTTGTCAATTTTTACATTTATAAAGGGACATAACTCGAGGACGATGAAAGTGATGCCACCAACTAAAGTTAAACTAATTTTGGGACTTACAGACAGACAGACAAGGGTAAAACTTAATGCCCCTTCCGTCGTGGCAGGGGCATAAAAAATAAAAACGGAGCATTCTTGTCAACTTTAATGTTGGGTTAAAGTTATATGAAAATTGGTTAAAGCGAATTTGAGTTTATATCGTACTAAGTGTTGATGGACAGACAGACATGGGTATTCCATAATACATCCGGTCTTTGACGGACATACAAAAAATGCTTGCACACGGCAACTCAACATTATCAAGCTGCAGACCAAATATAAAATCATTTCCTTCCATAAAGTCAAGAAAACTATGACACATTTTCCTTGTACAATGAGTGTTGTAAAATTTCAAACCATTGGCAAAAAGGAAGTGGTTGCACGGTTGATGCAAAAAATGCTTACATGCTACAAATCAACATGCTGACAATTCGGTATGGGTTTTTCTCAATGTTGAAGGCTGTACAGTGTCCTTTAATTGCTTACTACCACTTCATTTAAACTCTGGTGAATAGTTGTCTCATTGGCAATCATACCACATCTCATTTTTATATCATCAAGCTACAGATTAAATATAAAAGCATTCCCCACTCGTAGAACCAAGCTTTCTACCTAAGCTCTTTCAGAAGAACAGAGTGAAGGGGTTACTAGACCTGCTTTTACCTTTGGTGACGCAGGTGAAAAAAGAACATTGCAAAAAATTTCAATGTTTACAGTATTTCATATAAGAAAAGGGAACACCAATGGAACCTCATATTAAAATAAACAAACAAATATAAATATATATACAACTTTATTTCAATTCTAAAGACTCTTCTAATATTAAATTACACTGATAGTACTTTGACATCAACTGATATTGTGACAAATTTTCAATCATAACTTCTCTCATTACTTGAATCTTCCATCTTTTGATTACATATCTTGTCATAATGTACATCAGCTAAAATATTATGGATTCATTATATGAAGGAGACAAATTCTATGGGTAAATAGGGACCTTAAATGGAAGTATAAATTTTCAGTTGCCTTCTGTAGAGGTACATTCTCTTTAAAAGAGGAATTATTACTCGTAACACAAAAATGGGTACCCACAAAACAAAATGAAATCACAATAGTCAGAAAAAATGAATTCAAATTCTGATAATCCAAGACTTATTACAAAACAGAAATTCAAATTTTATTCTTAGAAATCCTAATCAGTTTCTATTAGATGATTTCAGAGATTCTTGGAACCTCTCAAAAGTATCTTGACATTGAAATTAACATAATGAAAAGGCAGTAATTCTCGATAAATAATATGAAAGAATTTTCACCCTTCAAATGAAGTTGTCGTTTTTTCAACACATGAGCCTTACATTGAAACATCTCCATTAAATCTACATAATTATGTAGTTTTAATAAACAATAATAAAATGCAAATGGTACATGATACCAAAACAACTATATATCCTAAATTTCAACCCATGATCAAGGGAAACCATCGAAATCTTCATCCGCAATTTCTTTAGCACTTTCCAATTCTTGTTGTTCACGTTCTCTTCTTTCCTGGAATTATTTTAAATAACAATTGATTTTAAATGCATTTTACGTGTTTCCAACATTAATTCCTATAAACATTTGCTATTCCACATGACATCTAATAAAAATAGTTTAACCCCAACTTAACTACATTGTTATGAATCCATGTCAAGAATGTTGTCAGAGGTAGCCTTTAGTTAAACTCTTTATACTTTTAGTGAATTGAGGGAATATGGTGTACATGACAGATGATGTGATGAATGTCTGTTTAACATCCAGCGGCAAATTAATATGCATATTTAGGACGAGAACATGTGAATGTAACTTGAATATCAACACTGCTTTGTACTAGACCGACACGCTGAGCCGGATTTTGAACATGCTAATTCACAAGGTAACAGTCCGCAGGAAGACATGTCACGTTACCCGGACACATTATTCTGACTCCCAGCCGACCAGTCTTTGCTCTTACTCCTAAATGCTGCGTGCTTTTTGGAGAAGCAGCAAATACCAATTTTAAAGTCTTTGGTTTGACTCGACAGGGGTTTGAACACACGACCTCCCGCACTTGAGGGGAACACACTACCACGAGACCACCAAGGTGGTTATATACATTCTCATTATCTGTAACTAAATTCATTATAGAGTAAAGAATTATACACGAAATAAAACAACAAAATGGACTTTTTCAATAACTACAATCCAGTCAATACATTACCTCGGCTGACTCCAGATCTTTGTTGTATGATTTTGGTGGAAACCTCATGGCCTGAAAAGAGAAAGTCATCTATAAGCACTGTCTTTCATTAACTTATCTTAAAACTTGTTTTTTTTCAATCTTGTATAATCAATCTTACAACAAATACTCTTTACTTTGTACACATTTAAGCAGATCATAAACATCAAAAGTTTTCCTTTCAGAAAAGACAATAAAATGCTCCACAGGGCACAGCTTGATTTGATAACTCTGAAGAGTTGAGGCAAGTATGGACACAACATTCAAGCTTGATACAGATCTGAATTTAGATTGTGATTAAATATTCGACACAGCATAGGTTTCTGACACAGAATGAATGTAGTCCAAGAACTTAAAAATTTGAAATTGGACAGGAACCTATTATGGTCCAATATCTAAAATCTAAAACCATGATTAGATTCAGCATATTAAAGAACCCCAAAAATTCATTTTGGATGAAATCAAACAAAGTTTAATTTGGGGCCTTTGGACTTAAATATGGACCAATTTGATAACGAGAACTAAAATCCAAAATTCTAAATAGAGGCTTAGATTCATCATAAATTTTTGTTGAAATCTTGTCATGTTAACTTAGCCAGGGTCAGGTGAACCTCTTCCAAGTTTTCTTAAGGGGTACTCCAAACAGGTTTTTTCTGTATATTAGAGCCCATTAAAAAATATTCAAAACAATTTTCATTTCTAAATTCTTATGATTTGTAGGAATAATATTTGGTGTCTTGGACTATCAATCAATGTGGGGTTATGGGAGCATAGTATGGAGGTGCAAGCTTTCTACTTGTTTTTCATGTCACGATAAAAATAGATTGAAGAGAAATATTATTTGGTTTACAGTGTTGAAGTAATTATTACCTTTACTGAAGCATTGTGTATATCTAAACAAAAGCTAATACGTTGATGGAATGCAGTCATTGGTTCCCTGGTGTTGTAAATATCACTGATTTCCTTTGACTGCACATACCCCTTCTCATGGTCTATGGTAGCCTCAATAACACCATCTCTAATTGCCTGCAAGAATGTCAACATACGCTCACAAAATTTCTACTTAAAATTAGTCCTGTTCCATTATTATAAAAAACATGGGGAGGACATGGGAGACACTTTTTTAAGACCCTAACAAACCATAAAATAAAAATTCATATTTCACATATAATTATTATTACCACAAAGTTCTAAGGAAAAGGCAAAAACCCATATTTAATAAATTTGAGTGCCTCTCATCCCCCACCCAAAATCATTTGGAACAGCCCTAACATGAAGTAATTGTACTTTTGATCTGATATAACGTGTGTAAACAGTGATTATTACATTCTTTCAATCTTACAAAAAGAATTGATCAACTAATATCAAAAGTTAATATTAAAGGGGCATTAGCTGTCAAAATCATGTTCACCAATTTGATTTATAACATACTAAAATGTATATCCAAATTACAATGAGTCTGAAATAAACAATTAACAATGCATATACTCGATAATATATATCAGAATTTAATGTGTATTTTAGTCTAAACACTATCTAATTAACTATCGAGATGATCTTTGAAGACTGCCGACGGTCAACTAGCCCTATAAATAGATAGCAACCTCGTGCAATTGGATTTTTCTATGTCTGTTTGATTTCATGTTATAGGTTAAAAAAACCAGTTAATTATCGTTTTTACCTGTATAAGAATGATTTTTTGTGGATCGAATCAGTCAACGAAATGGATCACCTTTGTTTCACTTTCAATGTTGACATTCTTTCCCTTTTAAAGGCTGAACACGACTAATATATGTGTAACCAATCTCTAGCTAATGAGTTAAATTGAAGGTCACAAGAATACAGATTCAATGAGGTCGAATTATTCACTTGCAAGTGAATAATTTATCAGTGATGTTTCTTCGCTTATTTTGACAAAATTGAACCAAATTGGCTGCTAAAAGCGATTTATTATTTCATTTCACTTTTACTAATTATTGAACCAAATCAAACTAAATCATATTCTAATTTTTTTCATATCTCATAGCTAATGCCCCTTTAGGGCTATTCCATTAAAATGTATGTGGGAGGGTAGGTAGGGACTTTCAAAATATCCCTACAACCATGAACCATTTTTTAGATAATTTTGCATAATGGTAATAGACACATACTGAAAAAAGACCCATGACCCATATTCAATAATTAAACTTTCCCTCCTACCCTCCCACATACATTTTAATGGAATAGCCCTTAAAATATCAGGAAAAAAATTGTGTAAAGGGAGATAATAAGATCCAATAAGTTATGACAGAAAATGTAATTTTTCATGATTATTATTATTCAATTATACTTTTTCAATAATACATTATTTGATTTCCTTTACTTTAAATTGATTATAAAAATAAGATGAAAATTAACAAAACAATGAGTATATGGCTTGTTTTCATAAAAGTGAATAACTTGTGTATTTTTAAAAGACTTCAGACTTCATATAATTCTTCAAAGGAACTACATGTACATGTCCCATAAAAACAACAATAAAAAATGTAGCTTACTTCAAGTCATCCAGTTTTCAGATCTACAAAACACCCCAAAAAATTTCTGTGGAATTTCTTGAGAAAATCCTTGATTATGAAATCAGTGTTTGATTTATTCAGTGGCGTATCCTCATTTGAATTAAAACACTACATTCATCCTGTAGGCTAGATAAAAGAGAAATCCTTGATTCTAATCACAAAAGCCTCTTCAAAAACATATTTCCTGATTTCTTTTATCATAATATTTGCTGTGTTTACACAACTGTTTATTTTTATACATATGAGATGAAGCACAATATTTTCTGACCAAAAAGACAGGAAATCAACAGATCTTGACTGCAACAAACTCAACTGAAATAAAATGAAGTTGAATAAGAATCTATTGATATTGATATATTATTTACCTTGGCTACAATATACTCTGCATCTTCTGGACTGTCTAGCATCAATTTCTGTGATATATCCATCAGTGAGATTTTAGAATACGACAAATTTATCATACGCACACCAGTCTTTATCACATTGTGTCTTAATCGAATAATTAATGTGTATGTATTTTCTGCCTGAAACTTTGAACCAAATTTGGCCAGCACCTCATTAAATTTTGCTAAGTTACCAATTCTTACAGCTGAAATAAGAGAGAAGAACATCTAACTATTGAACTAAAGTAAGTAAATTTAATACTACTTTATATCCTATCAATCTTTGAAACAAAAGAAGAGTATGTATTAAGTTATAAGAAGTTATGATTTCTGTAGGAACAACATTCATCAAAATATCATTGAAATCAAAAGTTTTGGAAAGCCAAATGTTTCAAAGTTGTCATTGAGGCTAGACAAAACACCTTACCATAAGATTTTGTTCAAAACAAATGTTTTTAATTTCTCATGTGGTGGCCTTTTATAGGTAACTATACGGTATGGGTTTTTCTCATTATGAAGGCTGTATGGTGACCTATAATTCTTCATTTCTTTGACATTTGAACTCTGGTGGATAGTTGTAATCATACCACATCTCCTTATTTTTAATTGAAATGTAAAATATAGATTCAGACAAGACAGTATTGCTTATGTACTTATGGGCATATGATGTCTCAACAGAGCTTCTTTGTTTAAAGAAGTAGAATGATGGTATATTATATTGCATAAATCTTCCATCTGTTGTTTTTTAGGGTACCATGAAATTTTTATCCAAGTATATCACACATGTCTCTTTTAAAACTACAATATTGTAGTCCTAAGCAAGTCTATACATTACAGTATTTTATACCTTGAGTTAACTGGAAGTATGGAGCTAAGGTTTTTCTCATTGATGGTTGTCTGAATAAATGTCTGTCTGGGATATCACCCAACAATAATTCTACTGTAATGGCTAGTTTGTGCACCTGTAAATATACATGATACATATACTGAGTGATAAATTTATCTTTGTGGGTACCAAATTCCTTGGATTCGTGAAAAATCATTATTTTGAGATACTTGCTTAAGGGGTTTGAATAATTTCTGCATACAAGACCACAGGCAATTTGTGTTTTGAAATGTTTGTTGCAAACTTAAACTCATGATTCACCTTTGCTAATGAAATCCAAGAAAAATTAAAACCCTATGAATAATAATGAATCCACAGCATATAGCAGTATTATCACATATCAGAAATTTTGATAACAGAAATAGCACAACGCTACAATTTCAAATGATGTTACAAAGGGAAGATTTGTTCAAATTTAACAGATTAGTTTTCGATCCGTCCTAAAATGTTTTTTTCACATACCTTTGCACCCTTTTGTAGTTATCATACCTTTGCACCCTCAGGCGCGGATCCAGAGCTTAAAGCGGGGGGGTTTTGAGAAGCATTTTTGAACATCATAGTTTTCTTGTTATACCAAACCTAATGTTTTTCAATAATCGGCACACTTTTTGTTCATCCGGCATATGGTTACCCAAAATAAACTTTTTAGATTTGTTTAAATATTTAATTACAGACCTTATCCACCTGTTTTGCAATTGCTGTTTCAGCCCTTGGGTCTATTTCACTAGACTTATAATTTGTGTGAGCAAAGTCTTGATCTCTTAATAAGGCTGTTTGGTGCCAGTATTTTGTTTTTTTTGTGAGATTTACATTCACCATTTTCTTAAACCAAATTCTGAACTGGTTTCTTAATAAACTGTTTAAGGTATAGTGGTCAGTATGGAACAAAACACAATTTGCAGTAAATTCCGTCCTGTAAAGTTGAATAGACAATCCATGGGAAATAATCCAGCCACGCATATTTGAAACATCTTTTAAACCCGTACATTTCTCGTTTAAAGGAAAAAGAAAAGAACCAGGTGGGTTTAAGTTTTCATTTAGCATGCTATACATTTGAGCACTAGTTACAGATGTGGAAATAAAGTTTGCAATATCCTTAGATTCAGCTGGTGTCTCAGCAGTTGCAGAATTTTCTAGAAAAAATTATTATAGATATGATAGGGTAACCAGTATTTTTCTTCAAATCAAACTAACAGAAAACGTCATTTTGATTATAAAACCATCAAAGTAATAAAATAAATATATATAGGGATAGCAGCCTTGGATTGTCTTAATTAAACCATTTGATCCTCTAATTATTTCCCCAGGCCAATGTAATAGAGACATGTGTATATTTAATGGGGTGTAGCGACAACGCGTCACCCTATTAAGTGCTCACTGGATATTCAATTTATAATAGTAAAAATAACATTAAAACAAAAAATGATTAAAATAAAAATTATTTTAAGATTTTCAAGTGGGGGGGTTTTCCCGAACCCCCACAAACCCCCCTAAATCCGCTAGTGCATCCTTTAGGTTTTTTCACATACCTTTGCACCCTTTTGTAGTTTTTTTATGTTCACATTTTAAGTGAATCTCACTGTTACTGTCATTGATTCATGTAAAGATAATGCTCCCCTCCCCCTCTTAATCAATCAAGGTGGGGCAGTAAAGATGTAAACCATATTCATCATACTGGAATCCCAATCACACAATTCAGAGTTTATTTGAAAGTTTACACCAATCAAGGGCTGTTGTTTAATTCCAAAAGCACAGTACATGTACATTTAATCCTAACCAAAGGTCTGTTTGAAATTTGTGTATTGCAGGCAAGAAGAATCACTTGTGTAGTAATCCCATGTGATATAACCTTTTCAAAGATTTTTTTTTTATATATTGGCTTTTAGGGAGTATTGAGTACATCAAACATGATCATTCTTTTAAATCCTACAAACCTCTTTATTGTTGCCTACCTTCAGACTGACCAGAAATATGTGTGTACAATAAGCTTTACTTACTGTTTGTTTAAATCCAACAGCTCCGTGTGTTGGAGCCTTCCTTAAGGCCTGTAATAAATGTTTATGAGCATCTGAATACTCTAACTGTGCTGATTTTATTCTGCCTGAAATAATAATTCACAAAACTGTTAACTTTTAGCTGAATGACCTTTAAATAGGGTTGGAGGTCAGTTTAATTGCATACCTAACACCTCTACAATTTTAACAGGGAATCATAGTACATCCCATAATGATAAAATCCTGTGAGATCCTTGAAATTATAATGTTTTGTATTTTTCAAATCACATTATTGCTAGCTTTACTAGCTGGACAGATGCAATGAATTACCTTTATAGTGCTATTAAATGTATATGTATATCAAAATAAATAAAATTTCCAAAGTATGCAGCTTCTGGAGTATAGTAGTAGGTGAAAATTGACACCTATTACCCAATTTTGAAAGACTTGTGTATTCAAGATTAGGAAATTTATTTTTGTAGACTTTTTATGTCAGTTATGTTATTTTGATACATAATAACATAGACCTTTCATAATTACCAATTTTGTTGCTATTTCAAAAGAAAAAGCTTAATCCAGTTGACTTAACCTTTGAATTAGTGCAGTTTCATCTGAATTAAAACTCCCGACATTGAAAAAAACATTTGATAAAACAAAAATAAAATTGATAATTTGTACAAATTGAACATATGCAATTTTTAATGCAATTATAGTTTGTTGGAAGTGTGTTCCACTACATACCAAGATAAAACAAAAATCTTGCCCATTCATTATTAGATGCTGTGTCTGGGAAAGTTGATTTGGACACCAATTTGTCAGCTTGTTCTATCAGATTGTAGTGAAGATAGTTACGTAACAAAAGATTCAATAGACATGCTTGACCGTCATAATCTGATCTTAATGTTGCTGTTCTTAATCTTGAGTGGAAAAATCTGAAATGCACAATAACATAATAATTATGACAATGTTATTACTGTATCTACTAACCAGCTTCAATTTCTGAAAAGTTTGAAATGTATGCAGGTGAGGTCTCCAAAATTAAATTAAAAGTTTCAAAGTGCCTTCAATGGGTACCATGAATGCTTTAATGAAAATTATACTGGTTGTAGCTGCAATATTAAGATAATGAAGCCTTGAGATTAGATACTTCTCAAAGACTTCACCCAACTTTCTGCAGAAGGTTGTTGGTAATCTCTGCACTTATAAGACGAGGCACCAAGATATAATCAAACAGTGAATTTGCAAGTGCTTGTCACTTTCGTCATTTATGAAACAGTTTCCAAAATGACAAAAGTATTTCAAATCAATTTCATCACTTAAATTTGGAAAGTGTAAAAATATTTTCGCATGAAAATACCATAATTCTACCTGTCTTCATGCTTCTGACAAGTTTATGACCCTCAGCTAATTAACATTTACAACAGGTGTTATGAATTGTGATTCGAGTAAGCCGCTTATCGCCATCGGATGGGTCACTAATCCGTTAATTATAATTCATAAATTAAACCTCATAATTGACCATCATAATTATTTTGCCAAGTAAAATCAGTTAGTCTGTATTTCAATTTCAATATTTCTCATACAATCACAATTTGCAGTTCGTTTGTCACACTTTCGTCATATGGACTTATTTTCGTCATATTTGATATAACTTTTCATCAAAAACTTTTGACAATTTCGATTAAAAATATAGAACTTTATTCAAAACATTCAGAAATGTTTTCACGAGTCAAACAGGTGCTTCCTTTACCACGTACTGCCCATGCTTTAAAATATTCTTATGAATTTATAGACACTAAAACCTAAAATACGTAATAATTTAGTATCAAACGAAAAGAGAGAGACAGTTCTTACCGAGCAAATTTAATTTAAAAAATGATCATTTCCTGCCTTTTCTAAACAAGAAGGATTCCGAAGATGAATCAGGATTCATTCAGAATTTATTATCCACTTTTCACTTCCCGTTATCATTTCATTTGAAAATAGAAAGTAAACGTGATCTATTCTTGATTTATTTACAAATTACAGTCATTATAATCGTTCCAATATGGATTTATACAAATCCTTGTTTCCAACTTCATAGAAATGAATTCCAAATATCAATTTAAACGTTTTTATATGGATAATGATCATGCAGTGAAAAAGTCTTTACAAGTTCCTTTATGCTTTGATTCCTGGTATATAAAAAAATGGAACCCAACTTTTAATGATCAGAATTGTCCCCTGAAACTAACTGAAGTGAAATTGTGAACTACATTTCCAGATCTTATATCCTAATCTTCATATTTAAGTACCACATCAGTCAAATCATGTTATAACTGCCTAGTACATGCTCAAGTCCTTCAAATTCTGTCAATGCTGTTACCCAAAATAAGGTTGATTTTCATCTTGCGCAAAAGTGACTACAGCCCTCAAAATTCTAGCTTAAACCGTGATCAAATGGTGCTGAATGTGGTGTTAAACACAAACAATCAATCAATTAATTAATTCACTGCACTACTGTTATATTTAAGAAATAATTCATGGACATAGATTTGTTGAAAATTTACACATGGCCTGGGCCGTAATATTTGAATTTTATCCTGAGTGTTAAATTAATGAATATCACAGCCTATATAACAAATCTATGGCTTCCATGAATTATTTCGATTATATTAGGACAAATACGGTCATTTAAAAAACTGAAGCAAGGGTTGGTATGCTGTGTGTGTGGCTGTGCTATTTAACCCCTATTAGATAAAGCTAAAAATTTCTAATAAATCTATAGCTTGTATGAACTATTTCTTAAATAACTGCTAGAAAAAATGTGTTTAATTCTTTTAATTCTCAACCTAAACATTTCCCATTTCTAATTATCATTTTTTTATCGTAAGCTACAATCAAATCCACAGTTGACATTTCGTAACTAAGGAGCCACCATTGTTGACTTACTGAAATCATTAAATGTAGGAATAATGCAATAGAATAGAAAATAAAACAACACCTACCTCAAAACTGCATTTGAATGCAATATTATCCGAATTTGGAGGGTTAACGCAACTGAAAACCCTTCAACTTTGGCGTTTTCATTCGTATGACGTCATGTTTTGAAATGACTTTAATGCGCCAAAAACACTAATGGAATTTCACACATTTTTCCGAGCTCTTATGCATTAATTCTTTTTGTTATACATCAGAATAAGAATAAAGGTTCTGTAATTTTTTTTTCAATTGCAAATTTTTAACACAGCGAAATCAACAAATCGTTTGCACATAGGTTACGATATATGTGGATTTATGTTGGAGGCATTTTGTAACAGACATTATTAAGTACCTCTCTGAGTCTGCGCTAAGTATAGATATATCGTGAATTTTATCACATGTTGTTTACAATGCGAAAGAAGCATACATCAATGAGACAGTTACACAAAAAAAATCCAACAAGAGTGCACACGCTGAAATGTCTCGCCTTCTTTACTAATCATTGATATTATGTTGATAGTCCTAAATATAAAGCTTTATTACAACTGTCACATAAACTTAACATTAACCAAGTAAACTAAACATTGACCAATGAACCATGAAAATGAGGTCAAGGTCAGATGAACCATGCTAGGCAGGCATGTACAGCTAACAATTCTTCCATACAACAAATATAGTTGACCTATTGCTTATAGTTTAAGAAAAACAGACGAAAACACAAAAACTTAACACTGAGCAATGAACCTTGAAAATGAGGTCAAGGTCAAATAAAACCTGCGTGACTGACATATAGATCATAAAATATTTCCATACACCAAATATAGTTGAACTATTGCATATAGTATTAGAAAAAAAGACCAAAACTCAAAAACTTAACTTTGACCACTGAACCATGAAAATGAGGTCAAGGTAAGATGACACCTGCCAGCTAGACATGTACACCTTACAATCATTCCATACACCAAATATAGCTGACCTATTGCATGCAGTATTAGAAAGAAAGACCAAAACTCAAAAACTTAACTTTGACCACTGAACCATGAAAATGAGGTCAGGGTCAGATGACACCTGCCAGCTAGACATGTACACCTTACAATCATTCCATACACCAAATATAGTAGACCTATTGCATACAGTATAAGAAAAACAGACCAAAACACAAAAACTTAACTATAACCACTGAACCATGAAAATGAGGTCAAGGTCAGATGACACCTGCCAGTTGGACATGTACACCTTACAGTCCTTCCATACACCGAATATACTAGACCTATTGCTTATAGTATCTGAGATATGGACTTGACCACGAAAACTTAACCTTGTTGACTGATCCATGAAATGAGGTCGAGGTCAAGTGAAAACTCTCTGACGGGCATGAGGACCTTGCAAGGTAAGCACATACCAAATATAGTTATCCTATTACTTATAATAAGAGAGAATTTAACATTACAAAAAATCTGAACTTTTTTTTCAAGTAGTCACTGAACCATGAAAATGAGGTCAAGGACATTGGACATGTGACTGACGGAAACTTCGTAACATGAGGCATCCATATACAAAGTATGAAGCATCCAGGTCTTCCATCTTCTAAAATATAAAGCTTTTAAGAAGTTAGCTAACACCGCCGCCGCCGTAGCCGCCGCCGCCGGATCACTATCCCTATGTCGAGCTTTCTGCGACAAAAGTCGCAGGCTCGACAAAAATCAAACCAATTGTTGACTGTCCACAAATTTTTAAAATTTTAAGCAGTTATACTTACGATCTGAGTTTATCCAACTGATTTGTTAATTCGTAACCCCTTGAGTGATAAAAGTAACATTTAGCAGCCAATTCTCCTAATGTCCTTCTATTTAAGGGAATAATCTTATTCATCAACTTTTCCGAACATGCAACAGCCTACAATATAATTAAACTATGTTACAAAACCACTCTAAATATGCAATCTGATTGAATAAAGATCCTATTTCAGACTTTGATTATTACAAGGATCTGACAACATTACGTTCTACTTTCTGGTAATTTTACATTAACTACATCAACTAATGACATATAAGCAGTTACAACTCATCACTGTTGACTTGCTGACAAAATCTAAAATTCACTAGTTTCTGAGACGTGTTATTTAAATTTTAAAATTCATTCAACATATTGAAAAATTCAAAGTATCAGCAAACAGAAGTAGGTATCAGACAGATTAGACAAGCACACATGGTAGTTTCTGAGAGAAAAGTGAGACAAAAATATTTCTTGGACAGACAGAAAAGGTGATTACAATACATCTCTCACTTCTATATAGTGGGGGTATAATATCAGTTAACTGTTGGGTAACCTCTTAATGTGGAGTCTGTACATGCCAATCTAGAAGAAGTGTTGGAACCAATCATTTCTCCAATTGTTTTTCAAAAAATTTGAATCAAATTTGGCTACAACAAACTTTGATAATTTTAGGATCTGCATCCTAGTCTCTTTGAAGTGATCTTCACACTTTAATAGTTAATATTTGGAAGTTTTTAAACTCTCCAATGTAAATACATAAATTGATAATTTACCTGAGTATATTTCTTGAGGTCAATCAGATGTATAATTAACAAAAGGTGAAGGTATATTTCTACCTCTGGTATGACAGGTACCGTTGCACTTTTACCGGATTTGGGTCTGAATGTAGGTCCAATGCCATTGGATTCCATTGGCTAAAAATACATGTTGCTTTCAATCAAACTTTTATATAAAAATTAAACTTCAAACTACAGTATAAGGTCAGTAAAAACATTAAAATCTATGTTTAGTTGCTTATCTCACAACTGAAAAATTAAATCAGTCGAAAGGTCATATTATTTCTAAAATGTTAAGACTTTTACTAGTATATCTTCATTAATACTAAATGAGGAGACCTGTATTTGTGTGTCGCTCTCTGTCCTACCTGATAGGTTGTATGCAAACTGTAGTCTGAGATCCTCCCAAATGATTATTCATTTGAGTTAGTTATGGAATGATTCAGAAAACAAATGATTTCAGGATATCATTTCCATCATTACTATCAATGATGGCTGACAGACATAGTGATTATAGGATTAAACACCTTTTTAAAGGAATTTATTGGTGTATAAACTCGACCAATTCACTCACAAACAAATAAAAGTCCGAAGGACTTTTATGATATGTTTGTGAGTGACTTGGTACAGTTTATACACCAATAAATTCCTTTAAAAAGGCGTTTAATCCTTATAATTCTTTAAAATTGGAGATAAGGAATTTATTTTTCCCCACTCGTAACCTCTATCACACGTAAATTGTATATGTGTGTCATTGAATAGGCCTGGCGCATGAATATATTTGTTGGTTAACGCAAAAATATGTACTCCGTGAAATTTGCAATCTGATAAAAAATAAACTACAAAAAAACTTATCATTCAAATAAATGTTTTGTGTTTATTATTTAATCTAACTATTAAGACCTATTAACGCGAACTGAAAATAAATTTTGTTAACGTCGATCCGGATTGTGTCATTATCGCCGCCATCTTGTTTACATTGGTTACGAAAAGAAGTTCAGTCAACGTCGTCTATCGAAAAATAAACGACGTCAAGAACAACTACCGGAAGTCCTCTCAACCAATCATATCAACGTATTCTCTAATATGCAAATCATATAAGAATTATTACTATATAACCTCGCTATTGCTGAAGGTGCAATTATAAACAGACATACCCATTATAATATCTCTGCCTTTTCTTTACAAACTGAAGAGGATAAAAAGTGGCAAACATGCACCCCAATAAAAATACAAACAAAATTAGGCTCTCCTGAAGGATAAGCAATTTTTGCTTCAACCTGGCAATATGGTCTAGATTAAGGCAGCATTGATAATTGTCTTAAGAGATTCTTGCTTTTTTTTTCATCTGTTAAAAAAAGAATTGACCCAGAGGGTATAAAAAGACTTGGTAGGGCTAGTGGTAACCAGCACTAGTTATTTTTCTTCTCCATATTTTAATCATGTTTTATTTAATTAACCTTTGTGCTTTTTCATCACCCCTTGGCATCTTATTCTTTAACATGAAAACATACAAGTAGTGTATAAAAAATATTGGCCAATATCAACAAAATAATAAATTCATAAATTAAATACATTCCCTCCCTCATCAAATTTTAAGAAGTCATTGTCTGAGAACCAGAAAATATATTTTACATGGCCTTAGTTACATTTACACATCTTATTTTATCTATTTTACCTGGTCAAGAAAAGCTATTAGTTCATCTCTTTGTACAGCTTGTGTCAAAAGGTATCCCTGAAACAGCTTTCTCAGTATGGTTTGATTCAGTCGTCTTCTTACATTTACAAGACTACGCATAACTCTTGACATGTAACGAGGTTCTTTTGAAGATACTGATTTCTCAATCTGACGTACGTAATCTTTTATGTCTGAAAAAAGAAAGAAAATTTATAAAAACTTGAACACACTTTCAATGTGCAGTAAGTAGAAATGAAACAACAATGGAGTCAAATAGTAGATAAACACTATGCATAGTCATCATGGTAGGAATACATTGTCAGTCTGTCTCTCATCCCTGCTTAGTAATTGCAAATGATGGATGACAAAAATTTACCTGACCATACATCGTCATGTAAACAATTTTAGATGCACCCATGGAAGGGAATTCGAATGGGATGTTGCAATAAATGTGTCAAATTGCAATTCGATAGATGATTTGTTTGCATCAAGAATGCATGCCAACCAACCATATAGCTATTCTGTGTCAAAACTGTAGAGTTTGAGTCTAGGTGGGTTTGCCATCCCAGTTATTTTTTTTCGGCAAGGATGGTGTATTTCGAGTACATTTAGATGCAAAGTAAGCATGTTTGGTTTCAAGCCATCAAACTTTAAAGAATCAAAACAAAAGTACCTGATCTTTTTTTATGTACCTTTAACACCTTCCTTTCAATTTTATCATTGTAAATTACATTTGATTGGTTCAAGCACTTGATCATGATGATTTGCCAATTTGTGAAGTAATAATATTACAACAATCCATTAATATGTGATAGTTTGTTCCACTCCCTTATCCCATTAATTACTTTTGCACTAAAACAGCTATACAGATACATGTATAATTACTTTATGAAAAAAAATGGGGAATGTGTCCATCGGACACAGATGATGCCTCCGCTTGCATATAACGTTATAAAGGGACATAACTCAAGAACTGTAAAAGTGACGCTACCTAAATTTGTACTTGATCTGAGTTTTGTGGTAAAAAGTATTGTGTATAAGTTTCATAACATTTGGTTGAGGCAAACTGAAGTTAGAGAACAGAAACGAAAAATTCAGCAATTTTTCCATTTGTACAGGGGCATACCTCTAGAACCGTAAATGTGACGCCACCAAAATTCAATCTTGATCTGTGTTTTGTGGTAATAAGCATTGTGTATTAGTTTCATAACATTTGGTTGAGGCAAACTAAATTTAGAGAACGGAAACGAAAAATTCAGCAATTTTTCCATCTGTAAAGGGGCATAACTCTAGAAAGGTAAAAGTGACACCACCCAATTTCAAACTTGACCTGTGTTTTGTGTTAATAAGCATTGTGTATAAGTTTCATAATATTTGGTTGAGGCAAACTTAAGGTAGAGAACGGAAACCAATTTTGGGACGTACGGACGGACGTACAGACAGGGGTAAAACTTATTGCCGCCTCCAAACCGGCGGGGGCATAAAAAATGGTTATCAGTAGACCATAGACACTGGCAGTAGGGTAGGTCAACTTAAAATATGGTAGTTTATATTTAACATCACTATTTTCTTAAAATAGTTGTGATTGATTGTTGGTGTTAAATGCCACTTTATTAAAGCATTGGCTATATCATGGTGGCCAGTTTTATTAATGAAAGAGAAAGTCAAAAGTACCCAGAGACCCTAACCTTTGGCAGGAAAAGCTAACCAAGATCAAAGTCAAACACACCTTAGCATGAATGGGGTTCGGAATAGTGAGTCAGGACAGGCTAGTGAATACTCTACTTATTAGACCACTCCACATTCATCCACTGTCAAGAGTTGCTGAGATCCCCTCATTATTAAGAAAAATACCTTGGCCTTCGATTTTCTTTTCTATCAAACGATGAATTGCATTTGACTGTGACTAATAATATTTGTTATTGTACAAAGTGAAATGATGTTAAATTCACATGCAGATAAAAAATAATACTGTAATGTGCTGTAGACTGTAGTTCATATTTCAAACAGCTAAGCACAGGCACTTGTCTCTGAAAAAAAAATCCTATATACAGGTTTTCAATCGGCTGTTGGTAGATGAAATAATTAGGGTTGACATACTTGGGGAGGCCTAGGCCTGCTACAAATTACTCTGACAACAAAGGTATGCATGTTATACATTGTGTAGATAAATCAATTTAGATTTACGGCATTTCAAGTTTTAGCAGGGTTGACAACCGAGAAATCAAAATATAAAGGAATTTCGCGACTGTTAAGGTATATAGGCTAGCCTATAAAGGCTATATTTTTTTTTTTTCATAGACAAGTGCCTGTGCAGCTAAGGCATGCACCTTAGCAGCACAGTAAAATAACCATGTATTGCTTTATACAAAACATAGAAATAACCTTCAAGTGTTAAGAGATCTGGATCTTTCTTTGGTTCTTCAGCTTCACCTTCATCCATTGCAACATCTTCAATTTTCGGGTCAGTCTTTTTGTTTTTTGTTTGACTTGGTGCCTCTTTCATCTCTACGTCTGTATTTTTCACCATTTTTAATTTATTGTCATTAATAACTACTTCATCTATGGGTTATTGTGAATGATACTTATTCAAGTAATTGTTTTGATTGTCCACAACTAGTTTAAACTGATTAAAGCTTCGCCAACAAACCCGGCATGATCTGCAAAAAGTGAAACTATGGCGGATAAAAGTTCCGCAGAAAATAACTTTGGAAAACATTTTAATTATATTCTAACTTTTAATGAATGTTAATAAAAATGCCTCCGTTAATTTTTTCCTTATATTCTAGTAAGCATAGTTAAATTTTCAGTACAATCGAAATTTTTTAAAGGATAAAGAGTTCCTTCCCTTACTTTGGTGCTCTAAGTTTTGTTTTGCGGGAAACTTTAAAATATATATCAAAGTGAACATGACTGTCACATCATAATAATAATACGAGGCAGGTGTTACCTCAACTTCCAAGCAAGGACCGAAGCTCATAAACTCGGCAATCAATTAGACTGGGACCCCGTTATGTATAGGCAATCAATGTGTTAAACGCAGGACTTCGGAAAAGTCCGGAGAGCCGTCACAACCTTGCTTCGGAAGTTGGTGAAAGGACGAAGTCAGAAAACCTCTAGAATACTTAACGATATCCCGTTAACAGCACATATATTTATATTTGCAAATTTAACATTGTTGTGCTAATTTTAGAGTAATTATAATTTATTATACTTCATGTCAAAATGCCAGATTATGATTGGTTCATACGAGGGAGACAATTTACTCTATTCTATGGTAAATACTCTATTACCCTTCACGGAGACGCTTGTTCAAGTGTGCGCTTTGTTAAATACGACTCTTTCCTATGGAAATACTTGATTACCCTTCACGGAAACGCTTGATCAAGTGTGCGTTTTATTAAATTTATACGGATGGTTGTTTATGTTATGTACAAGACGTCATAGTTTATTACTTTGAATTTGAAATTTAATCAACAGTAATAACAGATTATTCAGTATAATAGATTAAATAACACATATCTGAGAGGGTGATAGAGCAGATTGTTACCCCTCGAAAAGACAGTGTCAACCTTGGCTTCGCCTCAGTTGACAATGTTTTCTCGGGGTAACAATCTGCTCTATCACCCTCTCAGCTATGTGTTATTTATATAATGTCACGGTTTTCAGTCGTGTATCACCTTCACTGGTGATCCAATGGATGGATCTGTCGTAGAGTTGTCACTTATTTAGACGTACTTATCAAATATATATACATATATGGATCTGTCGTAGAGTTGTCACTTGTTTAGACCTGGGAACAGTATATCTAACATATATATATATATATATGTTCCTGTTTAGACGTACTTATAATATATATATATATATAAATCAATTAGAAAATTTACACACAGACAATCCAAAACTATACTTGAACATTATAAAAGAGGGACGAAAGATAACAGAGGACAGTCAAACTCACAGATCGAAAACAAACCGACAACGCCATGGCCAAAAATAAAAAGACAAACAGACAAATAATAGTACAGATGACACAACATAGAAAACTAAAGACTAAGCAACACGAACCCCACCAAAAACTGGGGGTGATCTCAGGTGCTCCAGAAGGGTAAGCAGATCCTGCTCCACATGTGGCACCCGTCGTGTTGCTTATGTTATTACAAATCCGGTAAATAGTCTAATTCGGTAGGTCACATTCGTGAAAAGGGAAGGGTATTGTAGTTACGACATAAGGAACATATCCGATATCATCTGTGAAACGGTTATTCCATAACGGTCAACCAACTCGTGATGTCGTCCGTAAAATTTACGAAGGGATGATTTCAATTTCACCATTAGGAACTCTTGGTTTAATAGCTTCCTTATGAGCAACAATCCTCTATCAAGGAAATCATGATAGGAAATACAAGCCCGGGAATATCGTATCAATTGGGAGATATATACTCCGTATGCAGGCGCTGTTGGAATGTTGCTACATAGAAATGGAAAGTTCACAAATGGGAAGCTGAAATCATCTCTTTTGTCGTAAAGTTTTGTTTTCAACCGACCCTCATTGTCAATTCTAGATGTAAGTCAAGATAAGAGGCAAACTTAACTGTATCTGTAGTATCCTTTATCTCTAGTTCGATGGGATAGATTCCTTCAACATAGTCACCAAATTTTGTATTATTTAGTGAGAGAACATCATCTATATAGCGGAACGTAAAGTTAAAGGATATTGCTAACTTCTTATCTTTCTTCCTAAGAAGTTCCTGTATGAAGTCAGCCTCATAATAATAAAGAATCAAGTCGGTAAGAAGAGGGGCACAATTGGTTCCCATTGGAATTCCGACAGTCTGTTGAAAAACACGTCCTCCAAACGTAACAAATATGTTGTCAATCAAGAAATCAAGCATATAGATAATGTCAGTTTCAGAGAATTTTTTGTTTGAATCAGAGTGATTCTTTACAAAGTAGGATTTATCCCTCCCCAAGACAAGATACTTGTATCTACGTTCGCCATTCTTTTTAATGAAACAAAGTAATACCAACTCTTTCAATTTGTCTTTTAGTTTGGAATGAGGAATACTTGTGTAAAGTGTAGAGAAGTCAAATGTTTTAATAATATTGCAAGATGAGAGAGTCTTAGATTGTATGTACTCTAAAAGATCTTTGGAATTTTTTAGTATCCACATCTGATTCACGCCACCTCTAGAATAGGCAGTTTCACAACAACTTTGGTGCCCGGCTTTGATTGCTGATAAAATAGATGTTAATAATTCAGAAAGAGGTTTCGTGGAGCACTTGGAAGACCCAGCAATGCTTAAGGACACTTATGTAGTTTAGGTATCCAACACAGTGATGGAAGATCCAGTTCTTCATCTTTGGTTGAAATTCCAAAGGAACATAGAACAGACCTATGATTATCCAGGATTTCCTTTTTGGTAAGTGTCGTGAGGGTATATGTTGAGTTTCCAAATGAATTGTCAATACCTAATTCATTTATCAAGCAGTTTATGTAATGATATTTACACACAAAAACGATGTTGTTTGGGGCTTTATCTGCGGGGACAACAACATATTTGTCATGGAGGTAGGACAAGTGTTTTGCAACATTTGGGTCCTTAAAAATTGACGTAGCTTGGGTATTGATAGACCCATTTTGTTTCTTACTTCGGATTTGTATCAACGACCTCACAGCCTTAATCCATTCGGAAAGAGTATCTACGTCTTCTTTCTCGCGTTTAGCCCATTGCCTGGCATAATCCTTAAATGACTTGAAGGACACCAAAAAAAAAAACATGATGACAATTATACTACAATTGAGTCATATAAAATTGAGAATGGAAATGGGGAATGTGTCAAAGAGACAACAACCCGACCATAGAACAGACAACAGCCGAAGGCCACCAATACATGGTTTTCACATTTCCAAAATCTGAATACTTTACAAAACAAATTCAAGGCACGCCTTCAAGAATTACAAAAACAGCTAAATAAATTAGAGACAATAAAATGTTTTAATGAGCTTGATATGTCCATAAAAGACACTGAAATATCAAAAGCTTTAGCCAAACTAAAACCTAACAAAAGCCCTGGGTTTGGATAACATCTCAAATAATATGTTAAAACATGGGCAATCAATTCTATTGCCTATTCTTAAAAAAACTTTTTTACACATGTCTTTCTTCTGGATTTTACCCCAAGTGTTGGAGTGATGGTTATATCTCAACAATTCACAAATCCAGTGACATTACAAATCCTAACAATTATAGAGGAATCACAGTGACCAGTGCCATTGGAAAAGTGTTTAATAGTGTACTAAATAGTAGGTTTGATGATTTTTTATTGAAACATAACTTAATTCATGAATGTCAATTAGGTTTTACAAAAAACGCTAGAACTTCAGATCACATGTTTATTATTAAATGTATTTTTGATAAATATTGTAATTCAAAGGATGGAAAGGTTTATGCCTGCTTTGTGAATTTTCAGAAAGCTTTCGACACTGTCATTCATACTGGAGTGGTATTAAGTTAAAATCACTATCTGCGGGCGTAGGTACTTCTTTTTATAATGTTATTAAACACATGTATGAATCAAGTAAATCTTGTGTTAAGATTCAATCCAGAGTAACAGATTTTTTCCCGATAAAACGTGGAGTTAAACAAGGGGACAATTTAAGTCCCAATCTATTTAAGTTATTTATAAATGACTTGCCAGAGTATTTACAAGAAAGTGAAGACCCTGTTATACTTAATGATAAACCAGTTAACTAAGTTGCTTATTATATGCAGACGATTTGGTCCTTTTATCAACATCTGCTAAAGGAACCAAACAAGACTAAACATTCTGGAAAAATATTGTAAAGATTGGTGTTTAAGTGTAAATCCCACCAAAACAAATGTTCTGATATTCAACAAAGCAGGCAGACACATTTGTGAAAAATTTACTTATGAAAATAAATTGGTTGATAGTGTTAATAATTATAAATGTCTTGGTTTGCACTTTAGTGCATCAGGGTCATTTTCATATGCTCAGACTGAACTGTATAAAAAGTCATTGAAGGCTTATTATAAATTGTATAAGAATTTGCTATCACTTAATCCAAGCATAAGTACCAGCTTACATGTATTTGATCATACCATAAAACCAATACTCCCATATGGGTCTGAAATATGGGGAATTTTTAAACCGTTCTCAGCAAGATTCAGAAATAGAACTTTACCATTTGATAAAATCTATTCCAGTTTAAAATGTGAGCGACTACATATAAAATTTAGTAAACTTGTTTTAGGTGTTCATAAAAAATCCACTAATTTTGGAATTTTTTCTGAGCTAGGGCGATTCCCATTATATTATGATATAATTAAATCTATGTTAAATTACTGGTATCGCTTGGAAAATCTTGATTCCAGATTTTCTCTTCTCAAAGACGCTTATATAACATCACAAAATCTTTTTCATTTAAAAAAACCATCTTGGTATGGCTCTATGAAGTCAATTCTTGAAATGATCCCAGACATCAATCATATATCTTTATCATTACCAAAAATTAATAGCTTCAAAGCTAATATGAAAAAAAAAAATTAAAATCATATTTTATAGACTTATGGAACACTGAATTGATAAAGCATTCAGATGGTAAACTTAGAACTTATGTTACATTTAAATCAATTTTTGGAAGAGAAAAAAAAATCTTTCCATTATG